GGCGGGGGGCGGTGGAAGTCACTACGCTAACCAAGACTGGCCGTTTCTACCAGTCGGAGAAGGCGGCGGTGGCCGGAGTCCAACCCTAAAGTTTCACAATACCCCTGGGTTCACGCGCTACAGAAACGAATAGGGTGCTTGCGACCCCCAGCTGTGCAAGCGAGGGAGCACCCGGTCGCTTCGCGGGCAACAGTCCAACCTCAACTGGCCGCCAGCCTCCCTCCCGAAGCCCGAGCTTCAGGCCCCCAGGGCGCTCCGCAGGATAGCATTTCTAAGCGCCCAGAGAACCGGCCCTGCCGGTTTGGTGCCGGTCCCGAGCGAGTTAAGAGCACCTCCGTCACGCCTCCAGCCGAAGGGAGGTGGGGAGGGGGATGGTGGTGGAGGGCGAGACCCGGCGGAAAAAGGGCCGCCCAGAGGAACAACACCTCGTTGTTTAGAGCCTGAGACCCGACTCACATGACTGGACCAGCCGCTCCGCGCGTCGCCCCCGGGTCCGGCTCGAGCTCGTATTCCCCACGCGGGGCGAGTTGGGACCCGGCCGGCCGCGAGGCCCACCGGAGCCTCCAAACCCGAACACCTCCCTCTTTCCCTGTGACCAGGGTTCCACGGTTCGCAAGTACGGGTGCCCGGGCGACTCAAACCGCGTTCGAAATCTCCTCCTCCTCCCCTCCCCCTACGGGGCGGTACTCCGGGATCCTGAGAGGTGGGGTCGGTATAAAGGGGTTGAGGTCACCGAGAAGGGGTGAAAACGCGACGGGACCTGAGCCGAAGGACAGGAACGTCACGCGTCAAATCCCCGCATCATCCCGCCTTCACTCTCTCTTCCCCTGGGATCCAGAACCTCCACCCTTCTAGGCTCGCTGGCTCGTGGCCGAGGAGCTCGCGCGCCGCCTCCGCCCCGAACGCAAACAGCTGTTCCCCGAGACGTCGCCGCCCTCAACTTTGCCAACTAGTCCGCACGCACTTTGACCAGCGAAGCAACCCGGACCTGTAGGCTGGGGGCCGTTGGCGGAGTTAGAAAAAGAAAAGTGAAACAGCTGGTTTCGGTGCCGCGAGTTGCGGGGCTTTGCCTCAGAACTTTCCGGAGGCGGCGGAGTGACCCCGCCCCGCCCCCGCGCGCACGGGCCGAGCTAGTTCCTTCGCTCGGGGAGCGCGTGGGCAGCGGCGGCGGCGGCGGCGGCGCTGCGGCTCGAGTGGCGCAGAGGCGGCGGAGGGAGCAGCGGCTGGGGGAAGCCGAGCGGCAGTAGTCGGGGCGCGTGCGCTTGTCAGGTGAGTCACGGCGGCGTCTCTATCAGCACTTCCCATATGGTCTAGCGGTTAGGATTCCTGGTTTTCACCCAGGCGGCCCGGGTTCGACTCCCGGTATGGGAACGTGGTGGCATTTTTAAAAACCGAATGGGGAAACTCACTTATTTTATTTACAATATTCTGGCTCTCTTCTTGTCTCGTTCTCGTGATGTTTGTGAAAAACGAGCATTAGTGTAGTCTTTGGTGACTTCGTGACCCGGGCGGCTGAAGGAGCGAGTACGCTGTGGTCCCTCGCCTCCCTCCTCTGGCTGGGGGGCTGAGCCGCCGGGGAGTTTCACTTTCCAGGGGCTGCCCTCCCGCTCTTCCGCCCCGAGTCCTTTTCCAGGCGCTCGGGAGGTGATGATTAACTCTGGCCTCGCTTTATCTCCTCCCAGCGCCCCCCCGGGGCCCACACCCTACGCGGCCGCGGTTTTCCGACCGTCCCAAGCGACGCGGGGCGTGTTCACCCCCTGCCCTCGGCGACGGGAGTCCGCACCCCGTTCGGAGTCCTCGTTCTCTTTCCGCCGGCTGTTTACGGGACCCGACCCCCGGCACAAAGCCGCCTGTCGCGGGGCGCGCGGCGGCGTGGCGGTCTGGCGAGCCTCTGCGCCTTAGGGCGCGCTTTCCCGTCCGCGCCGCTGCCCGTCACCGTACGATCGGCCGCGTGTCCACCCGGCTGTCCCGCAGCGGCCGAGCCCGCCGGCCAGCTCGGCCCAACCTGACCTCGGGGGCGCTCGTTTCAGCGCACCAAAGTCCCGCGGACTCCAGAGCCACAGACTTGAGTGCCACTGCCTGGGAAGGCCTCCGGGGAAGGGAATTCCCCCCGCCC